ACCTGGTGCTGGAGAGGTGGCCGGCGGGACGGAGGTCGCCGGCGTCGGGGCTATCTTGGTGGTGGGCGCTAGAGGCGTGAGTGTAGTCACGTTCGGGGCCAGGGTGGCGTTCTGATCCGCGGACAGCACGCAGAGCGCGGCCAAGCAGGTGGCGGCCCAAAGCAGCGGACGAGAGAGCGCCGACATCGTGTCCTCAGCGCTGGTGTCCGGGAGAAAACAGCGGCTCAAGGCGTTTCGTCTGTCCGGCCGTCCGCCCGCCCCCTGCGGCGCCGCCTCTGCGACTCCGCAGGGTGGCGTTCTGATCCGCGGACAGCACGCAGAGCGCGGCCAAGCAGGTGGCGGCCCAAAGCAGCGGACGAGAGAGCGCCGACATCGTGTCCTCAGCGCTGGTGTCCGGGAGAAAACAGCGGCTCAAGGCGTTTCGTCTGTCCGGCCGTCCGCCCGCCCCCTGCGGCGCCGCCTCTGAGACTCCGCTCCCCCGCCGGAGCGCGCTGGGGTCACGTGAGGGGCCCCAGGCCGTGGCGTGCGGGGGCGAGGCGGATCGGAGACGGGGCGCGGGCGATACTAACGTGAATTCTAGGGGGGGAGCAGAACCTCTAGAGAAAACTGAGGAAGGATGTACCTCAGAGCACTATACTATAGCTAGGACATTGTCCAGAAGCTGCAAGTAGTTTTCTTTCTCCTCAGCGTACCACGCAGGGTGCAGTTGGGTTTTTCTCGTGCCTGTGATAAGGAAGGTCCCCACCCCGGCTTGGATGGAACAACCTACGTGACGTGGCCTGCGGCGTCCACTTGAGCGCTCTGCGAGGCCCTAATTTCGCGGCCCCACGTGACTTCCCGGCCAGCTCTTTCGGACCTAAGTCCTGCCGAGCGGAAGTTGTTTCTGTGCGGCTCGGGTAGCACCTGGGCGAGAACTAAGTTTATTCAATTTTGCTGCATCCCCGGAGTGCTTACGTATATCCTCGGTAGGGCCTGGCGCTGTTTTCCTTGGAGATCGATTTTGCTGGAAGTAACCCTGTTACGGGACTCCTCGGGGAAATGGAGACACCAAGTAGTTAAAGAGTGTCTGTTCTGCCGCCCACGTAATGTTAAGAGGCTGAGGCACCGAAAGTGGTCTCCTGCCTACCAGGCAGACCAGCATACTGTCCACCTCTGCCACACTTTCCCAGCCTGACTTTTCCGAATTGCTCTTTCAGACAGTTGGAAGGCCATTGGGTCCGTTCCCATCCCCACTGCAGGTGAGGAAATTGAGATTCAGGAAAGTGACTTGAGCTAGACACAAGATTGCTTGGCATCAGAGCTGAATGTTAAAGTGTCAGTGTTCAGGCACTGCTCAGGCATTTAGTGAGGTTGAGCGCCATCTGGTGCCCAGTTTCACAAAATATTCACAAAATTTTATATGCTTTTAGTAAAAAATAGACTAGAAGCTATATTTGCTGACTTTTTTCCAGCTGTTTTATGTTTAGCGTATAATTTTAATTATGCGTATCTACCCTAATAAAGTAATATATTTAGAAGGAAGTATGGGTGGGAGGCAAGAACTGGTATCTATAATACAGTTTTGACAACATGTATTAAACCTCATGTAATATCTAAGTTTGGAGTTAGAGAAGGATCATAACAAATCAAAGATTAATAGTGAGCTAAAACTGTATATTCAGATTCTTACTATTAACATTGTGATTAGGATTGTTGATGAAATAACTAGAGATATTCTCTTTAGAAAGCTCTCCATTTTGATTATGGATATTTCTTTGATAACTGTTCCAGGACTTCTGAGGGAAAGCACTACACTTTAAAGCAGTTGTTTTCAACCTTGGCTGCACATTGGAACTACTGGGAAGGGGGTGGGGGTGAGGAGGGGATGAAAATTACTGGTACCTGAGTACTGATTTAATTGGTCTGGAGTAATGCCTGGGCATCAGGAGTTTTAAAAGCTCTTCAGGTGTTTCTAATCTGCAGCTTAGGTTGAAAACTGCTTTAGTCATGCTTCTCAGAGCATGGTGTAGGAACTAATATCATGTATATCACCTAGAAATTTGTTAGAAATGCAAAACCTTGGGCCCCACCTCAGACCTCCTGAATCAGAATCTACATTTTAACAAGATCCCCAGAAGATATGTACATATGTATAGTATTAAAGTTTGAGAAGACTGCTTTACACTATAACCTGCAGAGAACTGTTCTATCCTCCTAAATTGCTGCACCTCTTAATAGTGAATCATCTGCACAATTACATCGAGCAAGACTTATTGTAGTTTTTGGTTGTTGTTTTTTTTTTACAAACATATGTAAGGTTGGGGTACAAACAACACAACACTTCTGGTTTAATAGTGAATCATCTGCACAATTACATCGAGCAAGACTTATTGTAGTTTTTTGTTGTTGTTTTTTTTTTACAAACATATGTAAGGTTGGGGTACAAACAACACAACACTTCTGGATTTGCAGGAGTCCTAGAGCCAACCCAGGTTCTCTTTAGTCTGGACCTTGAGATGCATGATTTTTATTTCTATTATGCTTCAAACCCTGGGTCTACTAGAGATCTTTTCATCATATCTCTTGGTCCTTTAGGAAATGGAAGCCTTTTTCTGACTTGTTCCTTAGTAATAACCTCCAAGTTCAAGCTAAACTATGCCCCAGGCAGTTTTCTGATATCCTGTATTTGCTGTGTGCCTCATGTTCCTGTCTTGGAGAGCTGATTTCCAGCCAGAACCCACCCAGATGGCCACTCGTTATTAAAATATTTAAGTAATTCTGTACTGATTGGCAAAGAGCATGCCCTGAGTAGCCCAAGTGTCCCAGTCCATCCCCCAGGACACCATATCGCCATATTGCCAATAACCAGCAACCGGAAGGCTCACATCTGGCCCAGCCAAGAACCCTAGAACCTTGCAAGCGGGCTCTGGTCACTGTGCATTCTGATTGGTCAGTATTGGCATACCTCCTCTGCAGCCTTGAATTCAGAGTTTCTTGTCTCATCATTTTTCCTCAATCTTTCTTTTCTGTTGTAGGTCACACTTTAGTGTTACATGATTTTTCTCTTTCTTCTACGTACCTGTGTGCCACAGGCTGTCATAGATCTATGTCTCTAATATCCCAGTGGTCCTGGACGAGCAACATGAGCATCACCTTGAACTTGTTAAAAATGCAAATTCTCAGACCCACTGAATCAGAAACGCTTGAGGCCCAGCAAGGAGAGCTGATCTACACCCCAGTCAGCTAAGGACCACTCAGAGGAGTCTGATCAGGAATATAGAATTGCATGAAGTGCAGTTTGATGAAAAGACTCATTTCTACACATCCCAGGTTCATTGGATCTCTTAAGAACTGGGAGTACTTATAAAGTCAACCATTAAAACCTGAGCTGCACATAAAGCCTTCCCTAGGGAATCAGCAGCAAAGCAGCAATCTAGCTTAACTACAGAGCTCAAGTACTGGTCCCCACAGGAAGTTCTCCATTTTAGAAGTAAGCAAGGGGGACCAGACCACCCTCCCACAACCAGGCACACCACCAGTGCCACAGGGCCTGCCTGGGGTCCTGAGGCATGGAGCCAGGGACCGGACCCCCTACCAGAACCAGGCACACCACCAATGCCACCAGCAACTAGGTAAGGAGCATGCCAAAAATATCACTTCCATGTGGGTGGCCCACCACAGCCACCACAATAACCATGGCTGCCACAAAAGTGGCTAGATGCCATAACCACTGTGTCGATGGTCTGCCAGCCACTGGAGTGCACTGACACAAGGAGAGTCACCAGCAGAGACCAAAGAAAAGAAGAGGATGTCTCTCTCCACAAAGCTCATTCCAGAATGACAGAAATAGCATCTGTTCTACGATAATATTGGGGGACCTGAACACACCTCTAAGCATTGGACAGATCATCTAGGCAACAAATCAATAGAGTAACCACTACTCTTTCAAAAGGAGAGAAGAAATCTAGGGTTATCAGAGGTGGGAGAGGGTAGGAGACAGGGAGGGGTGAGATTGGACAAGGGGCATAAAGAATAAGTACCATTTGTAACAATACATATGTTGGTAATATTGATTTGATAAACATGTCAAAGTTGATATACATATAATCTATTATGATTCAATAAAAAATTTTTTTTTCCTTTTTGTCTTTTTTCGTGACCGGCAACGGATCGCAACCCTCAGTGTTGCCCCCATACCGGCCCGGG